GTTTACAATAAGCATATGACATATCGCTAAAGATCTCCTCTAATCTGTTAGAATTCGATCATAGATAGGTACATCACCTAGTTATATCAGTGTTTGGTACTACTTCACACCACTCAACCTATCGAGTTACCATGGAATTTATTGAAGACATCTTAAGGAATAAATTCCACGATATAGTGTGAGCAGAGAACGGTAATGTGATAACGAAAGTTTGCAAAACGATTTTATATGCGGTAAGTCTTAACAATATGAAACTATAATTCCTACTGGATATACGAAAGAAGAGGTTGGATATAAAACAATAAAATAACAATGGATTTACTTTTAAAAAATTCTACAAGAATATTAATTCTGTTTTCAATCTCTTGGTAACAAGAATAATACCATTTTACATTTCAACCCACAAAAATATTATCCCTAGTTACATATTATTTTTTTCTTGAAATATCCAGTATTATAAATGAAACTGTCAAGGAAACAGAGAAATCTCCTCAATAAATTACTTTATTCTTCTAGTCAATTAATTTCTTTATTAAAGGTAAACAGATGTTTTTCGTTTATTTTTAAAGTTTTTCACCAACATATTACTTTTTTATTTATTTTAAATATAAATTCCATCAGTAAAATGTTAAATACTAGGAGACAATCAATTTTATATAAACAATCATAGATTACTTTTTCATTAGAAATCAGTAATTATCCTTAGTTTCATTGGGGAGGGGGTGGAATGATGCAACAACAAAATAAAAACCCATTCGAAGTCAATTTCTACATTGTTTTGTTTTGTTTTCATAAACATGTAATTTATTTGATCATTCTAGTTCTCTCTAATTCAAGATTGTAACATACTTATCTTTTTTAGCTAACAAGATCAAATTACCAACAACAACAAAAAAGAACAAAAAGGATACGGAATTTAAAAAAGCAAACAGAAATCAATATAAAACAATTAATTTTATTATTATTCCAATAAATGTCGAGTGACTTGAATAATAATTTAAAATGGGAAATGAAATTCCCTTGATAATGAATACTTATATGAATGGGTTCATTGATTTTCTTTTTGTTTTTTGAATTTAAGATATAAAATTTTAATAGTTAAATTCGTGATTCGGTCTTATGAGTCAACTCATGAGACTGAAGATTCTGGGTTCGAATCCTGCATGTGAGATCGTGGATGTACACTGTTGAAGAGTCTCATACTAGGACAAAATGACTGTCTAGTGCTTCCATGTTTTGAATGATGGTCTAGTATACATTGATTGATGAATTCAACTATTAAAATTACTATAATCTCTACAAACACGCCATTCTAATTAGATATATAAATTAAATTTCTAAAAATAATACGATGAAGTAATAGTAAAATTATTTTGTAGTAAATTTGTCTGTGATCACATTTATCTATTCTGATAAGGTTTAAAAATATATACACTATGGTTATTCTTATCGAAATGCCAGTAATTACAGATAATTAAACAATAATAATGATAAATTTATGAAGATAAACTTTTGCTATGGACATATGTCCTGTATTAGTCAAACATTCCTCACCATTGTATATTCATTATTGATGTACAAATAAATTAGACCGTAATTATTTACTAACTAGTGTGACTAGTATCAAGATAGATTTCGGTTATTTCAAGGAAAAGGTGTGACTGGTTGAATTCATCTAAGTCGATAGTAAGTTAATACTATTGGCACTGGATAACTGTCGCGCATACACTGGTAGTCAACTGAAATCGAAAATGTGTAACACTGAATCCTGGCTCAATAGGCTTAAAGTTAACGTGTTCAATACCAGACGATAGTGTCCTTAATAACATACCTGGTGGTATCGTGACTTCGCATGATGCTTATTCGTTACCACGTATGAAGTAATAAATAATTATCAACTAGTCTTAATACTATGCATTTATTTAAAACATTTTTTCATTTGAGATTTTTGTGTTTGATAAGCATTTCACTAAACAACCACAATTTTCTTTAATTTTAATTATCAACGAATTCCACTTTTAAGGAAAGAATGTGCATTATGCAGTTTCATCAATTAAGGATTAAACACAAAATGTTAATATTGAATTACGTAGTAAGAGAACTTTTCAAAAACTAACTGGAACCATTATAATGAATCGTGTTACCTGAAAAGAATAAAGTTCTTAAAGATAGAATAGTTCAGAGTCCCATTATACCCGTACGATAAGACTGTGGTGTCTAATGTGTGTCAAACGAAAATGGGTTATTCTAGCCCATGAACAGATCAGTTTATTCATTTTCGAGTGACATTTTGACCTTGTCAATTAAGAGCTTACTTACCTTGACTATCTCTATATGTATCCATCGCTTACCCTATTCATCAACTGTCTTTGGCTTATTTTTATCTAACTAGAAATATTGAGCCGCCCGATAAAATGGAGTTAGCACACATGCCTTCTTCACTTCGCTTTACTTTCCTGCTTTTTATTCTGAATGCGTCTGGATAAATGAGTACTTGAAATAAATTCGTCCAACAGAATCCGTATTTGCCTTCATACCAAAGTCACACAGATGGGGTTGGCCTACGTAATATAAAGAATTAAATGACATTTCTAGCCAACTACATATCACAATTAACAGATTCATGCGTAAAATATGTTGGAAACTTAGAGCCAAACAACTTAAACATACAGAGTGTGTCTAATAAAGAAGGAAGTCGAGCTACTAAGTTTATTGGACAAAAATAAAGAGAACTTCTCACGAATATCATGAAATGTTGAGGTCTGCCTATGTAGATAATACAAAATATAAGACTTTTTCAGGTAGAATAACCTATTTTATGCAGTCCATGCGGTTTGCCAGAGGCCAAAATGACGGTTGTTCTCTCGAATTAGGGAAAATATCAGGTATGTACAGCCTGTCAAATACTTTTAACTGTGTGAATAACTGTTTATGAACTGAATTTTGATGTTAACTGTGAACGCGACTCTAGCAAAATATCCAGCGACAACGTATCCGAACTGCCTAATGTCTGAGGATTTTCAACAATTTTTTGAGTAACATAAATGTAGATGGGACGTGTATTTCTACAAATGAGATTCACTTAAAAGAAAATGCCATGAACTTGTTAAATAAAGTTCTTATGATCTCATTCCGAGTATTTGTCGGACAAAATGGGAGAACGCCCAGCTAGATGTAATCAACCAGCAACTTACGCCTGTTGACCCTCATGGAGGCGCGTAGGCCGCCCACCAGTATTCTCCATCCAACTCTGCCCTGGGCAAGCTGGTACATACATCTCAATGAATGACTTTTACATAAAATTGGAGATACAAGGATATTTAAATATTTAGTGTTTCCGACTTGAGATATATTATAATTCAAGAAACATTTACTATTTGACCACATATTTATTCATTACCAGTCGAAATTACAAAGACAACTTTCGATTTTCGTGAAAATATCCATGAGCTATTGTCCTACGATTTTAATGTTCCTTTTTAAAATTTACTCAGCTATTTCTATCAGACTTTCAATGGTACTATAACACCTGTTCCAATTCTTGAACGATTAGCTATGTTGCGATTTCAGTGTACTATCAAAAAGATTAGTACTATTAAAATATAACAAAATTAATCGAAAGTACTAAATTTGTGTTAGAAGAAGATAAGTGCAATAGGTTACCAACACAATATTCTCATCTAAGAGTTAAGAATTCAGTTAATGGAGTTTAATGCAAAGCACTGTCTGTTTATTGTTGAACCTCTTTAACAATTAGTTCTAAATTTGTTCGAACCACACCTTGTACGTTTACTTAAATTCCTCATATTCAGGTAGTCTTTGTATAAACTCAAAAGAACTTGTTTTTCATCAAACAATTGTAATCCAAAAGTTCACTGATGCATTTAAAAGTGTAGATGAGTTGATCAAACAGGTTTTAACAAAATAAACGAATTACTTGACGAAGTGTTACTCGATCACATGGCTTGATTAATAGTCATACAGAATAAGGTTATAGCAATTTAGTAATTCGTTAGGTTAATCCTTAGCTAGCTTATCAATGATTTGTGGTCAGCCAATCATCATCAACATGGAACCTGGTAAAAATGTGCTCTGGCCCAAGTTACCGAACTATACAACAAGGCTGAGATGTGATCAACAAGATGAACATTAAGGAGTCAGAATAAGTTAGTATTAATGATAGTGAGAAGGACTATACATTAAAAATATGGTTCAAAAAGACAGAATGATGAAACAATGAGGTATACCGGAAATGAGGACCTACAGAAACGGAGAATAAATGCATCCGTTTCGTTGTAACCGATTGTATGCTTTATCAATACTGATCGTGACTATTCCACGGAACCCACGAGATAGTCTGCACTTAGCAACATGGTTAGGTCAACAGTCAATGACTTTGTGAACTGGCGCCAAATTATGGTCTGATCATCACTAGGTTTCTTCTAATCAACTTCTACAACAGTCAAGATTGTTCGTCAACGTTTACTCAATTTATTCACCAGACGCGAGGTATCCTTAAAATATATCTATGGCAAAGAATCTGTAGCCTAGGCAGCCATTGTACTTTAAAAGACTACTTCACAGCCAAAGAGTAAGATCAATCTTGTCTACGCCAGAACCAACACAAGATGACAAAGATTAATTGCGTTTTCTGAATATATGCCGAGATCTCGTCAGAAATCAACCCACCAGGGCTGATGAAACTAGCATGATTGAGGTTAATTTATTGTTTTTAAAATACCTCATTTAGAGGAAAAAACCAAAACAATCAATATTGTTTTTTTTAAATGCTGATGATACTGAATGATAAAAAATAAGAATTGTAAAGTATAATAAATGAACACTTTAGCAAACACACAGATATACCGGTTATGACAATACCAGCGTTATATCATAAACCAAATTTTAGAGTTAATAACAGGCACATAATTATTATTAACAGTAGTGCGAGCAACTGTAATTCACCTGAACAATAAATTATTTGACAAATATTTTCTTTTAAACAAAAGTATATTATTTATAAAATTATAACAACACTGTATACAAGCATGAAATGATGAAAGAATGAAGCTTTGAACCAACATACACAAAACTTCATTTAATGAAAATGAATTACTGATTCAAATGAGAAAATAAGATTGACCGATTTACAGACTTTATAATAAATTGCTTGTATTCTCCAAAAACTAAATGGAGTTAATTCTTCATCTTCTATTCTTCATATACATTAATGTCCTTTTTCATATATTGAAAGTAAATTAAAGTAAACCACATTTACACGACTACCACTATTCATGAATAAGAAATCCACTTGTGAGCCAAGAATACATAGATGGAAAGAATAGTACATGATTGAAAAAATTCTATTTAGAAATAGACTGGAACAATAAAATTGTAACTGGTAGAAAGAAAATGATTTTTTGGGGGGGAAAATAAACAAAACAAAAAACTATAGCAAATAAAGTACAAGTTAGTTAAACCGGACGAACTTTGTTTACATTTAACGGTCGAGGTATTCCACTTTTCGTTTTATCTACATACAGAGGGAAGTGACAGAGAGAAGATTAAAGTAGATAACAATGTTGATTTGATTGAAAATAAATTGTTCAATGATAAACAATCGAATCGTAGTCTACAACAAAACTATTACTTGTAAAATAACTGTGATTCTATAAATATATTTACATATATTAACCTCTAAAAAGAAGTGAACTAGTTTCTGAAGAAAAAGAGAACTAAACTGGGTTCGAATCACGCTTGCGAGATCGTGAATGCACACAACTGATGAGCCCTATGCTAGAAAGAGACAGCCGTTCAGTGCTTCTACATTTTCAAAGGTGGTCTGACATCGATCAATCCATCATTTCAATCATATATATATATATATGTCAATAAATATTATTATGAATCAAATACCTTTCAAATAGCATATTCTACTTTTTGAAACAAAAATATAACTGGTCGTTGTGTAACTACAGTACTTTATACCTACTGTTTCAATTATTTGGATCGGAGTTAGAGCCTACAACACGAGTGATTCACTTCAAAATAACAATCTTTCAAGTATTAGTAAACATAAAGATATAAAATAATTTGACTTGTTTACGAAATACAAATATTTGTATAGTTAGCTTAGAATTATACGTTTTATGTGGAGACCGATGATACTATCAAGCTGCCCAAACCAAAGTTAACAAGAATTTTTCATCTAAATTTGTGATCACTGGATTTTTCTCACTTCAAATCTGCGTACAATTACATAAACTTGTGGTTTGAAGACAGATTGTCCATGTTTCACACCAAATGACTAACATCCATCTTTGCAAATATAACTCCATTTTTAATGACGAAGTTTAGTAAGTAGAGTAAATAGGCTTACTTTTCATCAGTGAACACGAACGATATCATACTGGACTAAGCTCAAGACCTTGCCAAGTTATATTTAGACAACAAAGTTGAAAATTGTATGATTAGCATCTCCAAATGTAGTCAATCTGTGATACACTTCGCCCGCTATCTAACGATATTTATTGATAACTATCAACACTCATCACGACTTCCCATAAAAAACTACAGGAATTCATCTTGAACTTTCAGTAATTCAGCTTGTAATCAAAATTATGCCTCAAATCGCTAACTAAAAAAAAAGACAGAAAATGTTAAAACCTCAAAAACTACTCACTAGCTTCTGAGGTACTGGTATTTTTTGTGGAATGGCCATTATATTTCTGTTGTTGACTTTGTAAACTTCTTGGATTCTCTGTACATTGAGGCATTTGAATAGTACTATTGGATGAACCTAATAAATGAGCTTTCCAAACATCTTCTGGACCACCAGGAGCAACTGAATCTGGTAAATTTGGTAAATCATGATGACAAAGTGGACAGCGTAGTCCAGATGATAATTTGATAGGCAAACAATGATGATTGCTTAAATGTGTTTTTAATACAGCTTCTGAACATTTAGAACAACGAACATACTGTCCTGGTGTACAAGCTTCACATTCTTTAAGTAAATGATCCGTTAAACCAGCTATTTCAACTACCTATAAATATGTAACAAGTTGAACGTGTTGATATTACTGGTACACATGATCAGCTAACTAGGTAAATATATTTAATCAGTAATTTAAATTGAAATATTCTTATTCCCAAACCTGAGGACCTATTTTGGTTTGTACGTATAATATATTTAGACAACATTAAAATATTAATAGCATAAGATGATCTAAATAATAAGTTTAGTGACAACATAAATAATTCGTATTGCTATACCAAATAGTCTAATTACATAACCCATCGGTCATCAGGTAGCGGTTTATTGTTGCTACCGCCTAAGCAAACTTAGAACGGTTTGTATATCACATCGGTAGAAAATACAATACATAAGTCAACTGATATTTATGTTATCAATGAAAAACTAGTAATTCATCACTTCTAAAATTTTGTCAGTAAATCAATAACTTGTCTAACTTATATGGGATACAGTGATTGCATTTTAACACCCATTATCTGAGAAATGATACCATTATGCTTAAGTGTTTTCTGTATACATTTATCAGTTTTAATTTCATAATAGCTCCGCCTGTATCTCTTCTAGGGCTACTCCAAGTCCCAAGTTAGGGTAAAAAGAAGAGGGTTGAGCATAGCAACCCGATATCGCAGAAAACAACCTGGCTAAAAAGAAGCTAACCAGAATAAACAATTTAAACCATTTAAACTGTGCCCTCAGAGTTGAAGAATCTCCATTCAGAAGAATTATGACACTTCATGGTAGAAACCGAGATTCTTCGGAAGTCATGAGGCCTATGCCCCTTCTAACGACGACAACAACAATTAACATAGGTACATGGAATGTTCGAACAATGTGAGAAACCGGAAGGGCCAATCATATAGGTACGGAAATAAGGAGATACAACTTGGAGGTGCTCAGAATAAGTGGAACACATTAGACCCAAGCTGGACAGAAAAGGATAGATTCAAAAGAGATATGGTGTTGTACTCTGGTTACAACGAAGAAAATGCTCCACACATACAGGGAGTTGCTCTGACGTCGCCCAAAGAAATCTCATGAATCCAGGATCATCCAAGCATTCTTCAAAACAATGAAGGAGGGAATCATAATGAATGTTATCCAGTGTTATGCACCTACCAATCATAGCGATGACGACAATAAAGATTGGTTTTACGAGAAGCTGTAATGGACCATAGTGACGTGCTCAGGAAACGACCTGACTGACCTGATGAAAAGCCTAAACTCCGAGGTCAGGATGAACAAAACCTGGTATGAAAATACCATGGGACGACATGGACTGAGAGAAAGGAATGAAAACGGAGAGAGATTCGTAGAAAAAATCTAATTCTTAATCTATAAGCTATCAGGTAAACGGTGTTTTTGTCTTCTGACAAGAGAAGTTTCATTCATTTGGGAGATTATCACTCCGATCATCCTGTCTATTCTAATAGTTACATCGGTTCAATAAGATATTATAACAAGGTGATTCAAATTTGTGTGAATAAACGTCATTTTGATATATTTTAACTAATTGGTGATTGGTAATGTTTGGTTCTCTAGCTGGATGGTTTAATTGTGAGGCTTTAATTGTTCAGAACAGCACCATCACTGGTTACTTCAAGTGGAAGTAAGCACTTTGCTTATCCACAATCATGAAGTTGATCTGATCTGACGAGGTGATTGCTTATTGGTTTCTTGAAATAAGAATTTACAAAAAACTGAGACTGACTGATCACCGAGTAGTGACTAGCACTATATTTGTCCTGTTTTTTTAGTAGCAATCGGATTCTATAAACCAATTTGCAATATGGCTACTAGTTTAAGTGACTCGACATTGCGAGAGATATGTTGAAATATAAGGCGGTTTGAGGTAATCGATAGGAAATCATGAATCTAGTTTTTGTGCTTCTGGGCACTTGTAGGTAAGTTGTATCCGGAATTTTGAGGGTACTTATGCTCCCTGGTGGATGTGATCCCATATCTCCCAGGTCCATTCTCAACAGCAGAAATGAAAATATTTCCAAATGCTCATCGGCTACAAATCAAACATCACCAAACAATAAAAATGAGCACATTCAGTATAAGGCGATGTGAAATCATTTGATGGCAAACAGATTTTTTAAAAGAAAACGTTAAAAACTAGTGACAAGATAGATTTTGAACATATTTCTATGTAATGAATAATAATGGCTTCAATTTCGTATACCGGATTTTACATCGAAGTTTTGAATAATTATCCCAAAGATATCAACTGACCTGAAGTGGTGAAATATTATGCAATCGAACTCGATATATCATTTCATTAAATTTTGCTCAGACAGGGTATACAGTTTTCATGAGCTCATTTCGAAAGAGAGAACACGAAGAACAGCATTCATCACATTCCTTAGAGGCTGTTTAACATGAAATTCGTCGTTTATCAGAAGTAAACTAATACCTCCTGAAGATCCCATAAAGTAAATAAACATAAGTAGTTCAAGAGAGGATTTTATCGCTACACCATCTAATTACTTGGTCTAAAGTTAAAATTATAATTATATCAAAAAAGCTATTTTGGTTAATGAATTAGTGTACCAATACTCAGATCACCTAAGTAAAATACTTCTATAAACATGCAATATATAAAACAAAAACAAGTGTAACAACATGCCTGTTTACAATTAGGACAACGATGAAGCATTGGACAACTTTTCCAATAATGTATATCTAATCCTTCCTCTGTAAACGAATCATTTTGTTCACCACAAAATATACATGTCTTATCTAAACTAAGTAAAAATTCTGCTTCTTCAGTATGTTGTTGTGAATTTATTTCCAATTGAATGTTAGCAGTTGAAGAATTTCTGTTTGGATTGTCACTTTTTGTAATTCGTGAACCATGTTGATTAGATGTATGATTCTGACGATTCGGTGATACAGATGGAGGCCCATGTTGTGAGTTATTTGCAGATTTACGATCATTATTCTTTAATCTTGAGGCAGATTTTCTATCATAATTTTGCGAAGGTACAGTACGTGATACACGTGAATTAGGCTTGTGGGTAGTCAAATGACCACGATTCCCATGTTCGACTATAGCACGGAGTTGTTGAACGTCTGCCTAAAGCCAAACAATGCAATATAGTTAATTATAAAAACCTCACAAAAAGTTTGATGTAATAGAAATGTCTGGTAGCAGAATAACTTTCGAAACACAGCCCTTTGTTAAAGTTGGTTAAACTGAGAGAATATCGCAACATTATAAGAAAGCTAAATATCTGAGTCAGGGTAATTCGCTGCGTTAAATAGCGCGAATAAGTTTTCTCAAAGTCTACTAGAAGTTTGTCTAATGCACTTCCTGGTCTTTGACCTGTATATCAGTATTCGTTTCTCAAAATCATATGAACGTAGTACGCTTCACTTTGTTCGAAAATGGGAGAATTTCGCCAAAAGGCAAGCTTCCACTCAAGAACAATTGTGTATTCTCCACGAGTGTCTTCGTCAGCATGTTCTGCCAACAAGTGTAAGATTCAATTGCTATATTTGCACCACATTCACACAGCCTTTTTGAGACAAATTAATGAAGGTCTCATTTTAACAATCTTCTTTATAGTGTACTAAAATATGTGGTCCATACTCAATGCGTTAAACTATGCATAAACACTAAAGCATTGCTTGAACAATTATGAATAAGAGATTAAACTACTTAAAAATTACAAGTAGGAACACGTGTGTACTTAAAATAATCGCGACAATGTGTGGAGTTCACATTGGGTTCGTGATTGAGAGTTGGTATGAGATATTATTCTTCGAGGCATTGAGAAACAAAGAAGCCCAAAACATGCTCCATTCACAGAGAAATAATTTTTATCAAATTGAAACACATCATGTAAAGACACAATGAATATTCGATCATTAAGCACGGGAACTATATTTAGGGTGTAATAATTCAGAGTTGATATATCTTCGGGTATATCTGAAAGAATATCTTGCAGAAAAGTATACTTAGATTGAAATTAAGATCTCAAACATAACTCAAATGCCTTCCGTCCGTGAATATATATAAGCAGCCAGATTCAGAAAGCTATGATAGACAGGAAAGAAAAATTATCATGAAGACCATAAATATGAAGAAATTAGTTCTTTTTTCAAAATTTTGATACCTGAAGTGCTTCAACTTCTTTTTGTTTGACTGAAGCTTTAATTGCAGGTGGTCGATCGTTCAATGGTGGATCATATCTTCCGTCGATCCGATCAAATTTTCCAAGTAGTCTTCTATATAAAGGATGTCGATTGGAATTTACATCATCTAAAGGTATAAGTCTACGAACAGTAGCTCGATCTTCAGAACGATAAAGAGCAACTATAAGATTTTCAGCAGCTTCACGAACCTTTAATAAAAGATTACAAATTAAAAGTAGGGTATTTTAGCTATCAAAAACATCTTTTCAAAATGTTTCTTTTTGTGAAGATTTACTGATAAGGATAAAGTTAATTATTTTTATGTTTACTACTATTCAACGGTAAACATAAAGCAACAAGTTTTGTGCAAAATTAAGCTTCATTGCTCCTAACAGCATAAAAATATGCAAATACAGGAAAAATCAAAGCTTGGAAAATGTAAACACTAGGTTTACAGCAACATAATGTTTCTGATAGCATACAATCTTTGCTAAAATAGAATAAAATAAAATTTAACCGGTAATATAATAAATGTTTAGCAGAAACTTACTTCGTTTGATCGATGGTCTAAGCATTTCGCAGTGAATATAGTTAATGCCTCTAAAGTAAAACTTCCCTGATTGACATGTCCGTGTTCATTACAAAAAACAGGATCTACACCACGATTGGCGTATAATTCTGTCGCTAGTTCAATTCGACTTAAAGCTAAACGATCTAATGTTACAGGAGAAAAGGGTCGAACTAATTCATTCCAAAATGTTGTATTTTGCTTCATCTACAATGATAGAAATAAAATACTTGGTTGAAATTAATGTCTCCGCAAGATAAAAACTCCACAATCTTGTCAATAAATGAATAAATTATTATTTACAAATAATCAAACATTTAACATTTTTGCTTATTAAAAAAGGTTTGGAAAGATTGTTTAATTTGAAATCAGTTTACATTACCAATTGATATCTTCTGAGTCAAAGCAAGTATTCCACAGTTATCTCATGTGCCTCACAACTAATCATTTTCTTATTAGCGACCAAATTCGAAATGATTTCCTGTATTTCTAGTGATATGGTTTGACAAATGAACGTTAATCATGTTAGGATTCCGACCATTATCTTCAGTGGTGTCGGATGGTCAACATAGTATAATGTAAGTTGGTTGAACTTGGAAATTTGGACCGTTGTACTACAATTCAATAAACCAAAATTATCATACTAGGAAACCTAAGAGGTTCAACGTTAAATCCCTATAGGGATAATGGTGTGTACATTGTTCGCTGGGTTTTCAATGACTATTTTGTCGATATCACTCCGTAATGAAAGCTTAGCTCAAATATTTTGGTAAACAGTTCCTTAATACGTGATAACATTTAAAAAATTTTATATATGACTAAGTTAGATAATTTCTATGACAACTATACATTGTTGATTCGATAATTACACTAAGCACTACGAAATTTTTTACTGCATATGAAACTAAAACGCTGTTATAAAGTAATCTCTTTGATAAGAAATTAATAATAATAATAATATAAAGTGAATAACCTGTGGCCATTGTGCCATATCTAGAATTTGCTGTTTAGCTATCTCTCTAACACGTGATGAAGTATCACCAGTTCGTTGAAAAATTACTGGTGTTAATTTATCCATGCAATAATATAAATCAGGTCGTGGAATACCATATCTATCGGCAAAATTAACAATCGTTGGTTTGACGAATTTTGTGGCTAAACGAAATATTGACAAAACCTGGAGAGAGGAAAAGAAAGAATATGAGAAAAAATGTATCATACATAATTGACTGTTTGGATACATGTATAAATGAATGTATTAAAAATATTCTAATTTTTGGAGGTGACATAATGTCTAAACACAATCATATTTAGAGAATTTTAACAGAAAAAGGTTTTATTCTTACTTGATCATTTAATGCACGACGTAAAAGAAATGTAGTCGATCGAATTTCAGCTTTTGGATCAGGAAGTGCTGTATCAGGAAGTGATACAGGAGGAGGAAGTTTCGGTGCAGTTACACGCTGTTCTAATTCAAGTAGAGCTTTTTCACGAAAAACCCATGATTTGCTATATGCTTTGGTAACCTGTAAAGAAACAATGTAAATGTATTCAGAACAACTTTGTATTATGTAGTCACCATAAATAGATTGAATTATATATATATATATATATATATATATATATATATATATATATATATATATATATCAGCTTACGTTTACGCCTGTTACTCCTCGTGAAGGAGCATAGGCCGCTCACCAGCATTCTCCATACAACCCTGTCACAAGCAATCCCTTCCAGCTCCTCCCAGTTGGTATTCATACTTTTCATATCTGATTCTATTTCCCGACGTACTGTGTTCTTTGACCTTCCGCTTCCCTTCAGGATTCTACGTTAGGGCTTGTCTCGTGATGCAGTTTGATGATTTCCGTAATGCATGTCCTATCCATTCCCATCGTCTTTTTCTAATTTCCTTTTCAGCCGGAAGCTGGCTTGTTCTCTCCCGCAAAAGGCTGTTACTGATGTTATCCGGCCAACGGATGTTGAGTATCCTGCGTAGATAACTATTTATAAATACTTGTACCTTCTTGATGATGGTTTTAGTAGTTCTCCAAGTTTCAGCTCCATACGGTAGAACTGTTTTGACGTTCGTATTGAAGATTATAACTTTGATATTAGTTGAAAGTTGTTTTGAGTTCCATATGTTCTTCGATTGTAGGTATGTGCTCTTGCTTTGCAAATCCTCGCCTTTTTGTCTGCATCTGACTCTCCTTGTTCATCGATGATGCTTCCCATGTACGCGAAGGACTCTACATCTTCCAGAGTTTCGCCATCAAGTGTGATATATATAATAAAATAATTTGAGTTAAACACTAACCAACTTTCTGAGTTCATAATATGTATCTAGAAAAATCTTTTCATATAACTTTATGACAGAAACTTCATATATCACCACAATACAACAAAACATTATCACTTAAAATGTACCATTTAAAAACAAATTTTTTCGATTGAATAAATGAAATTAATCATTTTAAACGGAAAAAAACATGAAAGAAGGTAACTGATTTGTAAAAATAACGAAAACCTTCATTTTATAGAGCATTGCATATCAACACCTATCAATACATAAATCAACTGATTCACTTAACTTTCAAAATATTAACAATAACAAAATAACAGAAACTATTCTCACTGATAGAAAAGTACAATGATATTTTAAAGTCAATATTCAAGAGAAAGGATACAGTTAAGCATGAAATTTGAAAATCAACTAATCTAAGGAAAAACATAACAGTACTATATTGTTGAAAAGCACGTAATAAACAAATTGTTTCGTCACACTTTTATTGCATATGAATAAAATGAAAAACGACTATTTATTCTCCACAGTGTCACTAACGAACACAAAGAATTTAGCATATAACAATAATAATATCATTCACCATTAGTTACAGGATTTTATGTAGAATAGAGTTTAAAAAGTTTTAAGTAAAATCGATTCTTTATTATCATCATCTATAAAGTCAAAATTTTAGGAGTAAGAAATAGTGTCATAATGATATAGTGTATGCAGATAATATCAATCTCAGTAAACCTGACATAAAGCAACATAGAACCTGGCACATATATACAAGTTGCTACATTATATCACCACAGCAAGATGCCGGAATAAAATAAGTAATAACAGTATCAGAGAGAGTAGGAAAAACTAGGCAGCGAGTCAGGTAAACACTTACGAACCTAGATTCAACTAAATGTGTAAAGGGAAATCAAAGTGATGAAAAAGAGTGTCTGGATACGATAACTGTTTTCATAATCAAGACGATGCACAATGCTTCTGTTGTGTATGGATGATGGTCCATTAAAGTTCACCTCACCTCAATCAAGTATTGATTTTAATAGAAACTTAGAATGCTTACTCAGTAGTAAAACAAATTTTATTGTATGGATAGTAAAGATAAGAATTGCCAAACTCAGATCAGGTAGAAATTAAGAAAAATTTTAATTGTAAAAAAACAAACAATATATTTGCTTTCATTTACTTCTTCAGCCAGCTTCACGTGTACAATAGAAAAATAGGTGAAGATGTATTAAACAACCGCTCTACCTAAGACATAGTAAATAAATCACGGAAAGCAAATAAGTTGACTGAAATGATATTTAGTGATTCTCAAGTCAAATACTGTTTTATCACGTAAGTTATGTTTCGCTTTCGTATTACAATTAATTAGTAACTATATCATAATTAGAGCAACCAAATAAGAATGTACTATTAATTTATTTCTACTTACTTCGATGTAATAAACATAAATATTGAATAATTTTCAATGATCCTATGATAAAATAAAGAATTACTCTGATCCTACAACCCACTCACTCTCTTATGCAAATTTCATGACAAAATGAACATGATCGTTACAATAAAACACATAACCTACCATATGAGTATACAAATATTATTAACCTTTTGTTATTTTTTCTTATTATACTCAAATAGAATTCAAAAGACTAGTAAATAAAATAATTAAATAAATCATTTGAAACATGCAATTTAGATTGTTATCTTAATGTACTTTTTAAAAATTATACGTAATCAGTTGACTGTACAAAATATATATTCGAGAATGTGTTTTTTTTAAAAAAAAACAATATTATTAGTAAATCATAAATGATTCTTACAAGGTTAATGCCTACAACATCAATAGCTACACCAGCCTGACGTCGATTGGTTTCGCTCATTGGCTCAGGAAGATCAAGTATACTATGCTGAAAATTTTCTCTACCATCGACCATGCGATCATGAGCTGCTTGTTCTAAGTATTTCATCGTTTGTTCATCTTCATAAGTATCAATGTCTCTTTGAATAGCTTCAATTGAATCAAGTGGTGGTATATGTTCAGAATGGTTGTAATTCTCAAAAGATTGTTCATGAAGCACTGGGACGGGCAATTCCGATGTATAATGCTCTTCGTCAGCTGGATCGACTATTGGACTATTATTTCTATGCTTATTTTTAAGAGCTGGTAAAGGACGTTCATCAGGATCATTTGAAGGATAAGCACGACGAAATGGAAAGTAATCAACATCTTGATTATTATTATTGCTACTATTGTTATTAACATTATATGACCCATTACTACGCCTATTTTCGTTTAGATCATCACTTATTAATAAACTTTGAAAATGTATTGGTTGTATTGGATTTACTGGTAAAAGAAAGGAGAAATATAAAACAATTTGTGAATATATTTATTCTAGGGGACTTTGAAAATTAATAACTATTAACTACCTGTTCCTATATAATAAATATTTACTATAATTTGTTGATTTATAAGCTTTTTTAATGTTTGGTATGTTTTATAAAGCAGCATAATAATAAATTAGGCTTCTATTTAATAATAAAATCTTATTTTTTCTTATCCTATTTGGCAGACTTTATCGGTAAATAGCAACAATGATAAAGGTAACACATAGTTATGCATCTTTAAGTAAGAAAAAATTTATTAGCACGAAATATGATTGACATTTGAATTAGTAAAAACAATCTACTTGTAAACCTGCACAAATAGCTTACTAATTGGTCAATGAAAAGAATAAGTTTGTTATATGACGTTTGACAGTAACTAGGAGTATGAATGGCATATGTTTCATTTACTGTATGTGTTAATAGTTTTGCCAGTCATTATATAGAGCATAGAATTATTCACATTAAGAATTTCATAGTCTAGGAAACAGGTAATGATTGATAAGGAAGAATCGAAATTAAGGCCACAGCAGAAGAACAAGTTGAGTAATTTCCGTTAGTATACATAGTGCTGGCTTTTCTATACGCATGATGAAAGCTTTAGTAATACAAAGTAGGCAAGTGTCCTACTTGTCATGAGATTTTATTCGCAGCCGTTTCGTTTCTTTTGCTTTTTTATGTATGTCAGCATAGATTTAGGGAAGCTAGGATAATTTTTACTAAAGAAAGTTATTCAACCTCTTCCCTTACTAAGGTCTTAAATTCAAATTTTCCCACACCTTACTTTCCCTTTTACTTTGTTATACTCTTACCTATTACTTATTACTCTTACTTATTCTGTTTGCATCCCTTACTGGTAATATATACAATATATATCACGGAATTAATTTTCACGATTTTTAATTTTTATCTGATTTCTATGACGTTCCTAATTAATAGTCAAAGTCTAAACAACTACATTTTCAGTTTCTTAATAGCAACGATAATAATAATAATAATGGATCTTGTATAGGTTATTTGGATCTTCTCATTGACGTTTAGGTTTGCAAGTAATCAGTTTCTTATTGGCATATGTGCTAATAAGCAGAGATGGATGATGGCTAGCAGTGGAATTCGAGATACGCAATTCATCCTATTCGGGATTCGTCAGCTGAACGTACCAGCAAACGGTACTGAGTTTGAATCCCAGAGCGAACATCAACTCCGGGATGCATGTGCATCCGGCTGACAAATCCTAAATAGAACAAAACGCGTATCCTGAATTCCACTGCTAGTTACCATCCATTTCTGAGTATAGTAATGATGATGATAATAATAGCAATATTAACGTTCTCATACTGTTTACTTTGATGCTTCGTTACTATGTATGATAAAGTGTTGTCGTCATATCACAACGTTTCAACGTTTCTTCATTTACGAACAGTAAAACTGACTTCAGATAAATAAAACAAATTCATATGTTATGAAGAAGGGGTTTTGTGGAGATTTTAGAAATTTTACTGATTAAATTCATGAGTCAATTGAAGCTAGATCACCATGGAAAACCTGGAAGCACTGGACGGCCGTTTCGCCCTAGTATGGAACTCCGCAGAAGTGCGCATCCACGATCCCGCACCCCGCGAGATTCGACCGATAGGTCCTGGGTTCGAATTTCGCGGGGTGCGGGATCGTGGATGCGCACTGCTGCGGAGTCCCATACTAGGGCGAAACGGCCGTCCAGTGCTTCCAGGTTTTCCATAGTGGTCTAGCTTCAATTGACTCATGATTTCAATCAGTAAAATATGTATTTCTTGGTAATATCATATATTGTTTTATTACATTTGAATTTACACTTCTAGTACTGTGTATGAGTATAGAATAACAAAGTCTTATCATTTTCAGCGATCACAATATTAAATATATGATGGGAATAAGTCAGACAGTTAACAAGTTCAGAAAGATAACTTCAATAAACGTTGACTAATAAAAGAAAACAGATAAATTCAACTATGATAATCACCAAATAATAATACTGAAAATTCATGGGAAATTCATATATTTGTAAGCAAATTAATCAATTTACTCTCTTCTGTTTTTGGCACTTATATTCCACTAGTTAACTCATGTTCTTTTTAGTTAAGAAGCTTTTCTGAAGATTGCTTTAATTTACTGGTTTTATTCATTGCCGATTGATCTCATTCGAGGCATCATTTAAGAGTAATGGACAACTGTTTAGAAGTGTATTTCACCCAATTCGGGACTTATCAGTTAGACTTACCTGTATGGTGGAGAAGATTTGTAGCTCAGGTGGATGATTTTGAGTTTTGTTCTCTGAGCACAAAATTCTATCTGATGTTTGTGCTGATGGTGTCGTTCAGAACTATGAAAGCCCCAGGACCAAACCATCCAGCTCAGAGAACAAAACTCCATCAAAAAGACTTACCTCTATCCCTGAGTTGATTTTCACTCTGACATTCGAATACATTACCTTTCTCTTTAATCACCTAACCCATTATCTACCAACCTACTGAGTCCAGATAACCGCTGGCTCGCGCAACAGACAAGAATGTAATTATTTATTTGTAAGTATTTCAACCTTCCTATTAAACAAGAGACACAAAAAAGGCAAGCCAATCACCGAGATTCAAATACAGAGGAACAGATGGGTGGAACACTTTGAAGAACTTTCGAATAGACCAACTCCATTGAATCCACCAAACATCGAAGTAGTACCTGCAGATCTTCCTACAGCTATCACTCCACCAAAGATCGCAAAACTCAGGATAGCCATCAAACTGATCAAGAGTGGGAAAGCAGCAGGAACTGACAATATACTAACTGAAGCACTGAAATCAGACATAGAAGTAACTGCAATCATGCTCCACGTTCTATTCAGGAAGATTTGTGAGGAGGAACAAGTGCCGCTAACAGACTGCAAAGAAGGATATCTCATCAAGATACCAAAGAAAGGAGATCTAAAATGTGTAAAAACTACACAGGCATCATACTACTATCGGCACCAGGAAACGTTTTCAACAGAGTGTTGCTGAACCGGATGAAAGATTCACTAGACGCCAAACTTCGAGATCAGCAGGCTGGATTCCGTAAGGAGCGGTCGTGCAAAGACCAAATAGCGACACTACGGATTATCGTTGAACAATCAATTGAATGGAATTCGTCACTGTACATTAACTTCCTTGTCTGTGGGAAGACGTTTGACAATGTGAATAGGAGGACCTTATGGAACCTCCTTCAACACTACAGTGTACCTGAGAAGATCGTCAATATCATCTGGAACTCATACGACTGACTACACTGCAAAGTCGTGCATGGATGACAGCTGCCGGATGTATTCCAAGTGGCAACTCGAACTGATGTACGTACGTACGAAGTTCTACGTTGTTACTGACTGACTGACTGTATTCCAAGTGAGGACCGGTGTCAGACAAAACTGCCTACTGTCACCCTTTATATTTCTTCTCGTGGTTGACTGAATTACGAAGAGCCCCACATCTGAGGGGCAGCCCGCAATAAAATGAACAGCCTGGATACAACTGGACGAGCTAAACTTTGACTCAAAATTGTGCAAGGTAACCACATACACATAAACACAAATACTTTTATAAACATTAACACTTACTTTTGTTCCGGTCATTATTCTGAAATAAGAAAACAAGCGTATACAAGAACTTACAACCACTACAAAGAGACGAGGGAAGAATATATATGCATAGATAATATGGATAGTCATTATGATTGTTTGCTAGGGTTTACATCTCGTTATTTATTTTGGTAAATGGATTTGGTCACTTTCTGGTTCTATATGATGGGTTACTTCAGTAAATGACAAAGCAATCCAGAACGCAAATTTTATACCATGTGAGACTCGTCAGCTGGATGCATCTAGTTGAGGAGTTTGAAAACGTGATAAAACACACTGTACACCCCAGTGCTAGTCGCTATCAGAAATATGAATAAAACACGGATATTTATTCTTTTGGTGAATAAGTGTGTATAGTTTTGGAACAGTAACTAACATATGATCTTCTGATAGTATTTTTATGTAATTCTAACTGCGGAACTTCTTTTGATTTATTATTGCGAGACAACTATAAGTCTGTTATTGAATTTTATTCATCAGAATATCCTAGTTGCGCCCTCATTAATAGTTATCGCAAGCTTTATCCTGATATTTCGTTAGCATAATTGAATGGAATCATGGACAGAAATCCTGGTGTACTTGTGACCACTTCATCATCTTAGGTTATGCCATTCTAATTTAAAATACATGGAAAAGAGGGAAATTTAACTAGAATGTAGTGAGCTGGTGAAAATATAGAGATATAGTCCGAAGATCTATCGTTAGTGATGTAGGAAATAATAATAATAATAATAATAATAATAATAATAATAATAATAATAATAATAATAAAGACTTGTACGCCACTGAATTCCGGTTCAGTGATCTAGAAGGTTATTAGTTCTCATGCGAGACATCTTGGATTCGATTCCCAGTCAGAAAGCCGTAGATGCAAACCGCTGAGAAATGCCGTACTAAAACGAAACGACTATCCAGCCCTTCCGGATTTTCAAAGATTTTCTAACTTAGATCGGGTTAGTGATCTCAATAACCTTCAACAAGCTCCACAACCCCATATTAAGAACAATAATAATAGTAGTAAATGAATAAATTTACACAACTAGAATTATGTAATCTTCAGTTCAGTTTTCTTACCGTATCAGGAAACTGGTTATCCGATCGACCATAAAGTTGTTCACGTTGTTCTGTTGAAGTATTACTAGATAACAATTTCATTAAATCAATATCTCGATATAAGTTAGTACGCATTTCAGTTATTTGATTCTTTTTTAACTTAGCTTGTTCATAGTTTTCTTCTTCAACAGCTTGTTGTTTTTCAAGTGCTAATCTACCGAGACGTTCACCGACCTGAAAGATAATGAAACAAAAGTAAATTATGCAACTAATTCGTTTACCAAGCAAGCAATTTATGTCTGAACCTTTCCTTATCCTCCATAAAATTATATGCTCAGTTTAAAATGTCAACTATTAAGTAGCTGGCAATTAATAAGCCAGAAGCCTTTAAGTCAAATACACAAAGTTAAAAATTTGTTCAACAATTGCTATGTTAATATATAAACTCAAGTTTAAAATCACACATACCTGATGTAGTTGAGTTATAGCATCTCGTATACCTTGAGCTTGGTCAAAGCGTTCATCTAAAAATTATTTGGAAAAAATAGAGGAAACATAAACAATTGTTGGAAACCTAAACCGATTTTTTGAATGTTAACATTGATTGAATGTAGTGGATTACGTCGATTAACAGATTGAATATTTAACGGATGATATATGAAGAATTATTCAAACAAATAGATACTACATAACAATATTCAACATTATTTATTTTTCAATTTTTCATATCATCGTGTATGCAAAACTTTGGTGCTGTTGCCGAATTAAAAAAATATTAATAAATTGTAACAAGACAAAGTGAGACTGTAAAGATTCCAGGGGGTTTTGAATAAAGTTTGTTGTTTTGAAATCATATAGACAATTTATTATTTCAACCCTAACTCACAATAACCGAAATAAAAGGTGAATAACATATATATTGTCAGTCTTTTTTCCTTCATCTGAACAAACACGTGATACCTATAAAACAAAAAAAAACCTCAAAGAGCTGATTATTAACCGAGTCTTATTGTAATAAAATTGGTTTTATTTCCTAAACAATTAGATCTATTCCGGAGAATGTAGAACATGTTAAGTAGATTTAATCTTTTAAATGATTTATCAAATTTCTTCCACATTGACCTCTCAGTTCTTAGTAGAGATCACTATGATTCACTGCAGTACAGAACTTGATACCTAAACGCACTTTTCAAGTAACCCTAATAAACAAATTTCGATCTATTACATAGGTAATATGGAATAGTTTATCCAGTCAAATAGCAGCTACTTTGAATAATAAAAGGTAAGTTGGACAGTCAAATTATAATTTCATTGAAATCACGAACCAGTCAATGTTATACCACCGCTGAAAACCTGGAAGCATTGAGAGGCCGTTTCGTTTTAGTTTGGGACTTCTAGGCAGTGCACATCCACGATGCCGCACCCGGAACTCGAAACCCAGGACTTTCTGCCTCACTTTCAGGTTTTCAATGAGGGTGATCGGTTCATGATTGCAATGACATTCAAAAATATCTACAACCCTATACTGCAAATTATAATTGTTTAAAAACTCCCAAGATATATTAAAAACACAGTTATACGGACAAAAAATATTCGTTTCAATAACTTCTCATTAGATTCTATAAATATACATTCAGATTAATCTTCCAAAAGGATAGCCAAGCTCAGGCCAAATACATTCTCAAAGATTACAGTAGATAAAGTAAAGATTTCCAATTAAAATTTATATACCAGTTCTTGATTTATCTTGATTATTAGTCTCATAATTTCAATCAGCTTAACATCACACCCTGATTTTTCAAAGTTAACAGTTCTATTTTATTTCAACCAACAATCATAAATTAAGGTACTGTAATTTTTGACGAATGTATTTTCTTTAAATTTGGTTATTTCTTTGTAATATTAATTTTCATGCGTAACTGTAGAATATAATAAGAAGCTATTGAAAAGAATAAACTTCGTTTATATAGCTGAATTATCATGAAAAAAATCACTTAAGATAGACTGTTTTCTAGTAGGAATTCTAAAACAACCAACTATCTTCCTTAAGGTCATTAAATACTTTTCAGAAGCTGAACGAAAACAAATATAAATATATGTGCACTAAAAATACCTTAGTATTATTTAATTCATGTAAATTAGAAATAGTTTAAAAGCTACAGAAATGAACTCAGTCAAACAATGTAGCTCGAAATTAATAATAATTACCAAAATATTAATCAACGATCATTGATTTTCTACTATGAAATTCAACAACAATTTACAATTTCGATATGTTATCTAATCAACCTTTACATAACACATTATTCATAAATAATAGAAATCTGGTCAGAATGGGGTTTGAGGAGATTGTAGTAAGTTTAATAGTTGAATTCATGAGTCGATGTAAGCTGGACTACCATTGGAAACCTGGAAGCACCAGACGGCCGTCTCGTCCTAGTACGGGACTCCTTAGCGGCGTGCATCCACGATTCCGCACGCGGGATTCGAACCCATGACCTTCGGTCCTGCACGCTAATGCTTAACCTCTAAACCACTGAACTGGCATCCAACGGTGTTAATGTCTAAATTCTATCTATCCATGAACAGCTGCGCAACGATTCATCCATTGTATGAGGTAGATACCTGTCTCTACCCGAAACAGATTGGACTCCAATAGTCACGGCTTCTCACTAGGACTCAATGGTGATCTAGCTTACATCGGCACATGAATTCAAGTATAATAAGAAGCTGATGAAAAATGAGGCACATACCCTTAACAGCTTGACGTTTTTGTTTTTCTAACCTCCTTATTATGTTAGCAACTTCGGGATCTTGATACATGTCAAACGCTAAGTCTTCAGTGGGAGGTATGTAATCTGGCCTAGACAAATAAAAATAGATGAGTAAAATAGGGGAAAATCGAAAATTGAAAAATCACTATAGTACTTATAAGTCAATTTAAAAATGGAGGACAACTTCTGAAAAGATATATGGAATTAAAGACTAAACCCAGATAAGTTGTCTGAAAACAACTCATCATCGATTAATAGAACGTGTTATTTCACAATTAAACATTTGTAAGTGTAAACATGTTATGAAGATAATGATGACTTAAGTGGTTAATACAACTGTAATGCAGTGGGATTTTATGAGTTGATCAATAGTCAGGTTTAAGATTATTAAAGCCAATAAACAGAATCCTGGTCGATAAATGAACGTAATGATACGAAGTGGTCGAGAGATGGTTACTCATGAAACCGGATTACAGACTAAGAACCCAATCAAATAGATAACAGAAAATAAAACAGTTTCCAAATAGAATGGGAGTTTGACCTGATAAAACAACAGGGTTATATACCAATTGTCAATGGAAAAATACACAGAATTAGATTTTATGTATAAATGGAGAAAACTAGTTTTATGTCACTCACTCCAATGAAAACCTGACTGTTAGGCTTCAGTCATTGCCTATTATATCAATAACAACGAATAAAATCATATTAGAAGCTTTTAAATGTTTAGAGTAAACTGGACGTTGAAAGTTTGAAGGAAATTCGGTTTTATGATTTTGAAATTTACAAACAACACATCTAGTGGGGGAAATTTTATCTATGTCTTACGGAAAATGCAGGTACACCTTTATATGGAAGTGCATCTACTTAGACAATACAGAATAACACGAATTCAGATTATTGAGTCACGTCACAAGAAAATATTGGATTACCGAGGATTCGAATCAAATGAAGAATATTTTATCTATAAATTTTGTCATATTTCACAAAGATAAATAAAGTAGATCATGATCTAGTTACTTACTTAGAACAAAATTCACTAATTATTGATGCGATGGACACATTATATGCCTTTTTATTATTGTTATAACTTTGGATCTTTGCATATTTAAATGGCAAATGCAGAACTGAACAATTCACTCAAAAGCATGCTATCAATATACTATTTGTCCCTTCTGCAGGGTTAATTATCAAACTTACCATTTCGGACATTTTACGAAGTTAATGGAAGAACTAATGAAGCATTTTAGTAATATTACAGTCAAGTAATATACATGACCTAGACCAGCAGTGCGCTAGGAAAGTCCGAAAAATTTGTCTTGATTCATTTTACTACTAAAAACGTAAATTACTAGTACACGAAACTTCACATTTTATTACCATTTTATGCTCCATGTTGTGTTGATTTCCACTCACCCTTCCGACGTGCGATGTGGTAACTTGAACTAAGGAACACCTGTGTCAGGCCCCAAGTTGATAATGACTGATTGACACCATTTTAAAGCGAATAAACGAGTATATATATTCAGTGAAATTCCTATACAACTCAATAACATAAAAGTTTATTCAATAAAGTCTGTGTTGATGGCATACTCCAACGTCCGATTTGAATCAATTTTTCTCGAAGAACACGTACTTCTATACATTTTGATTTATCAACATTTAGCAAGAATTGCAATGAAAAAGTTATACAAACAAGCATTGGAATACATTTAATATTTCCTGAGGAGGTGCTGAAAATGCGAATTCTCATAAGCTATTATGTATTGATGAAAACTTTTCTTACTTCACTATCATTAATGGTAGCGATTTGTATGCACAGTCATTTAAGGACAAAATCATTGTGTGAACAGATTACCTTACTAGAGGGGCTATAATATTCAGAAAGAATACATAAGCGTTATTACGTGGAGTGGTTTCAAGATAAACGTTCTATTCAATTATCATATAATATGCACATTACTTAACAGAATTGAACATAAGGTTGCAGTATTGAACCACATGAAGCAACAATCATAAGAAACTTACTCCAACATGTTAACTAGTAAATTTAAAAATGTAAACAGTGCGATGAAGCTGGTCTATGATATTTTGAAATATAACAATTAAGAACGTTTTTATCCATCTTTTAATCAACTTACACTATAGACAAACAGCTATGAGATTGCCACTGGTGTGATCCTAAATCATTTCAATTACCTTATTTGCATGAACTGTCTAATGTCTCATATGATTTTGAGTCATCAATAGACAGATAAATAACAGAGCCACGACGCTATACAATAAACTGACCGCCACCAACTATATCCTGACGAACCTAACCTCAACAAAAAAACTATGAATATAAACGCCATTAACGTAGTGTACTAAAAACGAATTCCGGCCAACCAAACTCATACCTTTAAATTATTCAAAAATGACAATATCAGCCACCAAACGCCTTTCGTTTAAACAGTGCATATGATTTGTAACATGACATAAAAGTTTAAATATTTCAAACATGTGAGACAAACTTTTTCGTCGCGATTGACTCAGGCTAATCGATTCATCAAGGTTAAGAGACGATTCAGCCATCGCTGCCAAATTAAGCAGTTTAATATATCAACATTAAATCATACTAAAATACACGACATATTTCTATGCTTTTAGTTATCTAGTTCTTTTCAGTTCGTTTATTATTATTATTTTAACACATAGATTTTGGTACAAGAAGGCACCAAAAACATATACGCCACGCAAATCTCATTTGATATTTGTGAGGGCTGTGATATTGCCCGGGTGCCCAACCCGAAGCAGGTGGTTTTTTTAGAGGACCACACACGGAGCTCTCGACCTGAAGGTCTGATTCACAAGGCAGTGGAGCGACGTAAGGAGATGCAGTCCCATGGTAGCCGGTGATCAACGATTGGTTCATACGCTATTTTTTCCCTCAGGATACTGGAGCCCATGTGCACCGGTGGTTTGGAATCAGGGTTTTCCAACTCCTCCAGGCGGACTCTCCGTATCCACCAACCCGGTTAAAGCGCCGGACATTCGTTTATCGTTCTCTGAATTTCGTAAAACACACCCTCGCCACGAGAAGGCAATGAGTAGGACTTCCCTGGCAAAGACTATATACGCGTGGCCGTGTGAGAGCATTTCGAGGAGAGCGGACTCTCCCCACTCTCGGCTGTACCAGGGCATTTGGGGGATTTCAGTTCGTTTACTTTAAGCAAATAACATACACCAAGACAAAAAAGCGTAACGTGCTGGACAAGTTGGAGTTTTATATATTTGTGTAAACGCAGCATAAGACGATGAAAGCAAAGGATAATAACTACAATCACATAAAACAACAACGTATGAATCGGTAGAATCAATCAAAGTAATTTTTCTAAATCAATATTTTAGTTTTTTTAAAAATCCACCAAATAATTTACCGGTTAGTTTGAGTAAATTTGAATGTCTATGTGTCAAAGAGAATGGAAAAGATATTTTTAGGAGTATTAATTAAGAATCAAATGTTTTATGTATAGTACTACATTGAGTTTTCTATGATATAAACCGATGTAGCAACATATAGGTGGAAACTTTACGCATACCTAAGCAGAAAGTATGACATTACTTTAAGAGCAACATTTATTGTGTGCTAATATGCTGACCTTTACTACTTAAAACAGAAAAACATACCTGAAAAGACCTACTGGGGAATCATCAGAATCAGACTGTCCATTCTTATCGATAAAATCGCCGATCAGATTTATAGCGACAATCCCAACCTACAGAAATAACAAATCCAGGCATTTTGAAGTACCTGACTGTATAAGTTTAAGTTATTCGGATGGTTTTTATAGAGAAACAGTTGAATATATGAGCCAGAGGCGTCAATATGGACTGACTTTAATTCCCTCGCTTTGTACTCTGTTGCTTGATTGTCTGATAGCGCTACATATCTAAAATACAGGATACGTAAGAACTATGTATAGATTGATTTACCCAAGTCTGGTATACCTGGCGTTTTTAAAATGTTCCATCTCATCGTCCGGCGTATCTCCGACGAAAAACTCAATCCTTGATGCTAAAACAACGATATTAAGTTAGTCTTACGAACAAACCAATTAAATATTGATGGCAAAGCAACTGTATTTTGCGAAAACTAGCTTTGGCTTCCAAAGATAAAATAAGCTGTTGAGGGTAAGAACAAAAGCGAGTAGAAACCCATCCTTTAGTTCCTGGATGGTGACGATTTAGTTCTGTGGCAGGGAAGTGTTCGTCTTGGCTTGACACATAGACGACACGAAAAGGTAGCTTGTGTGGCATAATCTGACCACCTCTTACGTCAATGAACAAACAACGCGCTAATAAAGGGGACTTCTATTGGTGTAACAGTTTACATAACCTGAGTAACAAAAACCCTTGACTTGAAAAAACAAAGTATGTGAAAGCAGATTTTTGAAATTATTTTGTATCCAACATTAACAAAAAACCAATATTCTGCTGTTATTGTGAAAATTTGCCAAGATCCCTCTTCTATAACCAAACAGTAACATTTCTACCCAGTGTATTTAGGAGTTTAAAGTCACGAATATCATAACTACACACGATAGCCAGTGAGTTTTAAAAGTATAGTAGTCATGGGACATTGATATCACTGTGAGCGATGAGCTTTTTCCAGAAACAAAACAGCGATTTGTTTGGTAATTTTATAATTCTGGAAGCTAGTTTTAATAGATTTAGTGTACTATGGATACTAGAGTAAAGCAATGAAATGTCACCGAAAGTTGTGGATGCCCCCTTGAATCCGACTTCTTATAATATCTTTCCACTCAGACAAGTTTGCTGTGTTTTTCCGTGTGACAAACCAATAATTGACTAGTACACCATAATAGCAATCTTACTAACTCGAAATGATCAGTCTGCCAACTTATTACATTTTCTACAGAGGAGAATATCATTGAGTTATGGTCACAATCTTCAGGCTATATAGTCATTATAAGCATCCATTTATCAAACAAAAATGTCATCATTCAGTGCATAAAACTGTTATTCATGAGATCTTCACACTTTTATGGTTTAAACAAAATAAAATCGACATCAGCTGTACGATGCAATCAGTTCACTGTACTTTTATGTTTTCTCTTCATTCACATACCAATCAACACGTTTACTTATTTCCAGCTGACGACATAATATTAACCTTAACTGTTAACTAAGGGTTATTAGGCTGTGTGAGGTATGACAGATATTAGGGATAAAGATTTCAAAATTTTGTATTCATAAATAGCTAATGTAATAACATAATAACTTTAAGATAATTTTATTATTCAATATTACAAAAGTTTTGCAGTTTCCGGGAGAAAAGGTAGACTTGTGACATTAACATACTAAATTGTGACTACTTTTAGTTCGGAAAAGTCAAATGTTTCTAAATTAGTCAGAAGCAAACTAATTACTGTTTTTAATACAAAGGTGTGGTATTTGAAGGAATTGATTATTCTTTTGTACTTGAAGACCTGCTGACATTGTATTCCAAATACAATACGTTCATTTGTGCTCATCGTGTTCAACTTGCACTATTTTGGGAATCCTTAGTTGGTACAATAATTCGAATATTTCAAATTATATTTGTGTTGTGATAAAACCTGTGATAGAACAGGTGGATATATATTCAGATTCCGAAGCTTTGACAGATTACGTGGAAAGGTTTGAAATCTGGAGTATGACTAGGAAAGATTATCAGAATGATAAAGTTGTGGCTCATTTTATAACTTTATTGTTGAAACAGACAACATATAGTTCATTGTTTCACTCAACAACTTGAAATCCTTAGATTTTTACGTTGTAGTACGACCCAGTGATGTCTCAATATTGGGGATTGCTGTACACAAACTGCCTATCCGAAGATGCTGTGAATAGCTAACAAGTTATGATAATTCTTCACTTATGTCCTGTCTTTTTTGGTGAAACACGACCATCAATACTGGATTTTAAAACATTCAGTATGGGATGCTTATATTTCTGTGCGCTTGAAAACTGATGGCAAGATGCCTAGAATATGTATTGATTATAGGTCAACACTGAACTTTCATTTTTTTACGTGAAAGTGCACTACGTTGGAAGCTGAAAACATTCCAAATCGACTTTATAGTTCTACGGTGTTCTCGAAAGTTTACTTGAAAGATGCTTATCTTCATATTACTTCAGATCAATCTTCATCCATTTTGACAACAATTAACACTCTTTTCTGCCTGTTCAAACAAAACGAACAATTCTAAACCATATACGAAACGACTGACTCAGTCGAGAAATACGCCAAATCTGAAAACTTCCACAAAACTTCATTCACTAGTGGGTGCTTTTCAACACTATTCCGGTTTTGTTCGTAATTTTTCTCCTCGTGCTAATTGGTAATTAAGAATTTTGACATTTAATTTTCCTGTAGGTTCTACCATGCCAGTCAAGTTAATTGGAGAACGCTAAGATTAAGAACAGCAACAGAAGATCTGAGGGAGAAATCGTACTTCTGTCTGTAGAAAGGTGTGATGGCAGTACGGTGTTCCCATCGTACATCAGTATCTGCAGCGATGCTGCCTTCTCTAAAACTTTCACACTTCACCTCACGTATCCCCGTCTACGGAGGTAAGGCCTTTTGAAAAATGGGGCCAATATGTCAAAAACCTCACACAAAAGTCCGTGCGTGACCGGCCTCAAGTAGTTATCCCTTGAGCCCTGCGGTTACGCTCCCTATGCCTGTTAGAGCACACAATACCAAGTTGGTCACAATCAAATCCTTCCTACTCCTCCTGATAACTCTCTTACCTCCACGACTAACCCTTCCCACGTTCTTTATCATCTCGCGCCGCTAATGCAACCTGTTGGAGTACGCGGAACGTCATTCTCAGTCACCTGAAAACACGCTCTAAACTACATGCAGGAGCTTTTAACATCCAAACACTGTGCCAAATAGGACAACAGGTGTCCTTTAGATAGAACTTTAGAATCTCTCACCATCGATGTATGATGCGTCTCCGAAACGAAAATCCAGGATCCAGTAGCGTCATTCATCTGATCTCACCACGTTAAACTAAAAAACTAGATTCACGCTTTGTGTATCTGAAAGTCCTGATGCTGCTTCTTGTGACTTCGCCGGTGCAAGCATAGCATTTAGTCCTAGAGCAGGACTAGCTCTCTTATATTGGATCTCAGTAGATAGTTGTTTGTGCGCTGTCCGATTAAACGGAACAGTAAAGACTCGGTAAGATATGGACACTCATCGTTGCCTCTTCGTCGTCTGGACCTAATTTCCCACTAACTACAGTTCAGATGATGCAAAAGATGAGTTTCACAGTCTCCAAGAAGTTAGGCGCTCTGGTGTAGTAATAGTGGCTGGTGACTTTAATGCTCAAGTAGGTGAAATAAGCGAAAAGGTGAGACACCTAGGTAAATCTTATGGTGTCACGGCTCAAAGAACAAACAATGGCGACCGTCTGTTTCTTGCAAATACTAACTTTAAGCATAAGGAAAAACATCCCCGAATTCGTCCCGACGTTAGGCACAAATAGATCACATCGCTATCAGCCACCGATGGAGGGGCTCGATAGAAGACTGTCGCTCATTCCGGAGCACATGCTTAGATTCAGATCATGCTCTAGTGCGAGCGCGTATTTACTTGCGTCTTACTGGACGTAGGAAAGACGCTGCAAGGAAAACTCTTAGTGACCTACTTAATGATGGTCAAGCTAAGAGTATATTTCAGGAACAACTAGAAAAACAGTTAGACAGCCATGTATGTGATGTCCACCCCGAGGCAGCATGGAATGATATTCGAAAAACTGTAGAAACAGCAGTGATATCTGCAAGTACGGTAGCCCGTAAGGTTAGGGGACAACACTGGATCTCAGCAGCATCTATCGCACTGATATATGCTCGGAAACTCATTCCACCTGTCTCTGAACATAGTGAAGAGCGGAGTCAGCTTAAGCGCAAGCTGACAAGAAGTCTACGCAATGATCGTGAACAGTGGTGGGTAGCGAAAGCAAGAGAGATGGAAAAGGCAGCGGCAATAGGTAATAGCAGACAATTGTTCAGACTTGTTAAGGAAACCGGTATTAGGAAACCGACTGTTAGCGAAACACTCTCAGAGAAAGATGGACATATAATTCATTCTCAATCCAGGAAATTGGATCGACGAGCAGAACACTTTAGGGATCAGTTTAATTGACCTCCAGCCACACTTCGGTTTCCCACGATCTCCAGTCAACCTGAATGGCAAGTTAATGTAGGTCCTCCGTCTCTTTAAGAAGTTGAAAAAGTCATAGGAAATCTGAAGCGAAGGAGAGCAGCAGGCCCTGACAGGTTTACTCCTGAGATTTTTAAGGATGGTGGTCCAGTATTCGCAATGAGATTAACCGAGGTCTTAGGTAGAATTTGGGAACTGGACGTAATCCCATCTGACTGGTCTCAATTGCTGATTGTGCCAGTTTATAAGAAAGGACAAAAGTCCTCTTGTTACAATCACAGAGGAATCAATTTGACTAATATAGTGTCTAAAATATAAGCTTCAATAATACTTCGACACCTAACCATAGCTCGTGAAGAGCAGACTAGAGAAAACCAGGCTTGTTTTCGACCTGAACGTATTTGTACAGAGCAGATATTCACACTGCATCAGGTCCTAGAACATAGACACATATTCAGACGCCCCACAATCGAAGTATTTCTCGACCTTAAGGCGGCATTTGACGCTGTTGATCATGGGGTTCCATGGCAGTGTTTGTCATCGACGAAGTAAATTAACCTTATAAAGGCTCTCTGCTCGAACACAACTGGTAGAGTGGGAGCTTATGGCGAACTATCATCAGAATTGATTACCTCAAGTGGTGTTCGTCAGGACTGTCCACTCTCGTTTGCAGTGATGTAGGTGCATCCACTTTTTGTATTTTCCCACATTTATCTTCTGAACTCTTCATGTTCTTCTTTTCTTTTCTCAAATTTATTTTACTGGATTATACTCCTTGAATAAAATCTTCAAACTCTAGTCTTTCCTATCGCTGCTTATGCTTTTACCACCTCTGCCACTATGGGGTTTGAATCGACAATAGTATTTTTGTGCTAATCTGGTATGGCAACTTGAATTGATATACGTACGTACGAAGTTCTACGTTGTTGACAGATTGACTGGTTCAATTTATTTTAAAATTACGTTCAGAAAAAGAATCATGCTTACCAAGTTTACTAAATTTTTTTTCAAAGTGATGTTGTTCTTCGAACTTAATCGTCCAGCGTACATTCTATACTTATTACTGATGCATCACCTGTGAGTATCGGCTGAGTTTTGGGAGCAAGAAGGTAGACC